CACCCTGTATTTCAACAGCACTCATGAACAAATTTATTACGAGTAGCAAGGAGATAAATGACAACATACCAGCAAAGACATATTTGAAACCATACACGCATCAAAACCGAGATTATACGAGGGGATGGTAGTGAATAATTAGTTTCGCAGTGAGTATGTATAAAATTGAGGTGACATTATAAACATGAGATCACCGCCAGTGTATTGGAAGAGATTACGCCGTAGTGGCATCAGCAGCTGCAACTTCATCACCTTCAGCTTTCGCTTTCTTCACTGGTTCTGGTTCCGGCTCATCATCAGCATGTCTCTTCGCTGGCTTTCGGATCTACAAGGTTAAATGTAGAGTTGATAGATATATGGACCAAGTTAAGCCCAAATCAGCAACGATGAATGCTTCAAGGAGATTGTACTGTAAAAAATTTGGCAAAAGTAACATCTTCTTATTTGCGTTACATTAAAAGAGGAACTCATTGCACGTGCAGAAATTCGAAAAACTAGTGAAACTGATAATTTGCAAACATAAGATTTCTGCTCGAAAAAATCGCGAGTTATATGTTCAATCGATGCAATGTGAATGTAAATAACATTAGTACTCACCATGTTCGAGATATCATTAACTGGAACATTTTCATTGACAGTACTCAGCTGAGGTAAGGTAGCAGCAAAAGCAGTCTTCAGTTCTTCCGCGGCCTAAACGAGCTGCAATGATACCGATTCTGAAAAGGGAAATGCAAAAGCTTACCCGTTTCAACGTCGCAGCACTTTCATCGGCATCTTGAACCTTAAGCTGAATATCTGGTACAAGTCCTTTGAGATCAACCAACTCTTTCTCAAGCTCAAGCTTTTCCTTTTCCTTCTCCGGCTCAGCCATTTCAGACAGGGTCTTCTCGATTGATTCTTAAGAGGATTTACCATGAACAAAAGCGTGAAAAAGAAGAATTAACCAACCAATTCGTAGTTCAAGGCATTGTTTTGCTTTCTGATAATACTCAGAAGCTTGCTCAAAATCTTTGTCCAATTTATAGACACGAGCGAACGTCACGTAGGTTTGTGCAATAATTCTATCACCAGCAGATAGATGAAGAAGTTGGATTTGAAGGGCACTTGTTAGATCATCTAAGGCCTGAAAGACGAAATAAGCTTAGGATAAGACATTCTCAGAGAAAGACCAGCAAAATATTGAAACGCGCCTTAAAATTCACTTGTTCCTAGTACTTAAGCTGCAAATCTTTGATTTACAAGTTTTCAAACAAAACTATGATGATAAGGTTTAAGATATTTAAATTCAATG